GCAGAGTTAAAACTGATGAATTGCATGCATGGGAAGGAAGAAAGAAGAACAAAGACTAAAGTCCATGATTTTAGAGTTAGGAAACTTTACCAGGGATGGACAGAATAATGGAGGAGCCCAATCTGGGTGGAGAATGAGAGACCAAGCACTCAGCTTCAACTTTGTGATTGTCTAGACCCACTGTGTGATTAACTCAAGCTGCTCTTAGATGTCAATGACGTCTCTGAACATCTATAAACCCATGGTCACTTTACAAATATGGCTCTAGAATCTAGTGCATCATCATTTTGATGATTCAGCTACTCTGAATCTTCTGTTGTTTCAGTCCTTCCAGTGAGCTGCTGCCAACACCTCCCTTTACTCACTTTCCATTTTATGATACCAGTTGCTCAGGGCTTATTTTGTCCCAGGGCTTCTACTCCATACTTCTTTCTGTCTCATTTATTTTTCTTCTCCTCTCCATCCTGTTTGCTGACCAACTCTGAATATCCTTATTTTAATTTTTTGAAGGTAAGTTTGATTGGTCATAGTCAGCATCCCATGTAAAGAATTTATATTAGATAATACATACACGGGAACCTCAGAGGTAGGGGCCCTCCTTTCAATATCTGATCTCTGGGTCAGTCACATGTACCCAATGTAGTGACGTTACACGGTATAGCACATGATGACCCATAGGAAACCAGCAGCTGCTTTTTTTTTCTTTTCTTTTCTTTTTAGAGAGAGAGAGATTGATAAAATGAGAGTGGCAATTGCTAAGAACATCAGTTCTATTAAGTCCTATCACCAAACTCAAAGGCTTCTTCCTTTTGCCCTTATATTCCTAAGTAAAAATCAGTGTATGCTCTCTATCTCTCTCTGTCTCTCTCTTTCTCTCTCTTTCTTTCTCTCTCTCGTTTCTCTTCTACTTACCAATAACAGTTGATTTTCATTTATGCAATAAAATGCTAAAGTGGAACTAATATAGCCTCAGCATCAGCTGAAGTCAGAAGATGACTGATTTCTTCTTTCTGTATGAGATGACAATAAGCCAGCCAGACAAGATGCATCACACACATCATAACTACTACAAGTCTCCCAAGAGAAGTCAAAGTCAGCTTTAAACCTTGCAGACCCACAGTATATAATGCCAGTTCATGATGGTGTTAACTAAGTAAGAACTGTCCTACTTCTTCCTCAATCTTCTATACTACCCACACCGTGTCAAACACTAGAGGGGTTCAGAATGGCAACTGTTGCGGGGAAAGGATTGGAAATAGAATAGGAAAAAACCCCAATTAATATGCCGCTTTCTTATTAAGGAAACCAACTTGTAAATGGTCAGAACTTGTCAAGTAGAGTAGTTTTATCTTTGAATATTTATGAAATTTTGATTATTACACTGAACATATTAATTGCTCCTTATGATATTTTTATTGATGAACATGACGGGAAAAAATGTGGTGACTTGTCCTAAGTTTCATCCAGTGGGAAGTATGATGGTCACACAGAATAATTTAAAGGAGGACAAAAGTAAGGTTGTTTTATAATAACATCCATGAGTCATGTTTGTTCAATACAACAGATATATCTGCCTTAACTCTGATAATATTCAGCCTTGATATAGTATGTTCCTCTGTCTCTTCCACTGTATTTTAAAATACTTGAGAGTGTGAAGCCACCTTGCTTTCTATTTTACTGAGAAAATAGAAGCAGTCGCAAGGGAACTTCCAAAAGCTCCCACCTCCACAGCTTTTCACTTAATTTCAGCTGGGCTTATTATCTAACCCTCCATCTCTCCTAATTTGAGTGAAGAATGCCAAATCCTACACTTGTGCTTGAGATTCCAGCACCACTAACTGGCTCGAAGCTGTGACTTCAGCAGTTCTCTCTCCTGTTGCATCATTTTCCTTTCCGCTGAATCATTTCCACGCACATAAAATACATGCTTTTACTTCTCCCCTCTTAATTCTTCCCTTCTTATTCTCTCTTGAGGCAATCTCAGTCAAACCCTTACCCACTCCTCTCCATGAAATTTACTCATGAAGATATTACCAATGAGCTCTCCACTGTTAAATCCAAAGGACAACGTTCTATATGAATATTAGACAATCTATCAAAAGCATTTGACATAGTTGATGTCAAATCCACCGCCTGGAAACTCCTTCTTCCAGAATGCCACACTCTCCTGCTGTTCCTTTTCCCACTCTGGTCTCCCCCTTAGCCTCCTTTGCTGCTTTCTCTTTCTACCCAAACTCTTAACATTGGAAAGCCTCCAACCTAAGACCATTTCTCTGCCTTAAGTACACTCTTTCCTTTGATGGTATCATCTTATCTTTGATAGTAAATATTACATAAATATACAATTCCCAAGTATTATAATTTTACTTGACTCTAGCTCAGACTAGTCTTCTCAACTCCAGGTTCAAATGTTCAGTTGCTTACCCTGCATTCCACTTAGAAGTCTAATCACAAACATAAACTCTTCAAAACCAAAATCCTAACTTTTCTCCTTGATGCATTTATTTCCTTCCTCATTGCTGTCAATGGCAACCCCATACTTCCAGTTTATCAAGCCCTAAAGCCTAGAGTTTTTCTTAATTTCTCTCTTTCACACCCACATCTATTTCATGTGCAAATCTTATAAGGTACACTTTCATCTATTATAAAATCCAACAATATCTTACCTAACCCCTGTCGCCTTGGTCCAATCCAACATCCACTCTTAACTGAGTTATTAATAACAGCATAAAGGATCACCTCCTACTTTTACACTTTCTTCTTCTATGTCTATTTAAAATTTGTAAGTGAATCATGGCTAGGTGTGGTGGCTCACGCTTTTAATCCCATTTGGGAGGTGAAATAAATGGAAGCCAAGCTCCAAGTCCGTTTGAAACCAGCCTGGGCAAGATAGTGGGACCTCTTCCCTATAAAAAATAAAAAAATTAGCCAGGAATTGTGGTGCACACCTGTAGTCCCAGCTACTCAGAAGGCTGAGGCAGGAGGATAGCTTGAGCCCAAGAGTTTGAGGCTGCAATGAGCCATGATTATGCAACTGCACTCCAGCTGCGTGATAGCGTGAGGTCTGGCTAAAATACAAATAAATTTAAAAAACAGAAGAAACTCCCATTTTATTTTTCTTGTTTAAAGTGAGTCATATTATACCATTCCGCTGCTTCAAGGTCTTTATAATTGTCTATGGGACCTACATGATCTACTCTTCCCTTTTCTCCTTAAAATCATTCCTGTTAGTTTTCTTCTCTCTAACTCTGCTCCAGCCACATAGACCATGTTGCAGTTCCATGTATCTGGGCCATGCTCTGGCCTTGGGGTCTTGGCACTTGGCTACTCTGGCTGAAATGGCTTTCCTTCACACATCCTCATGGCTGGCTCCTTCACCTTGTTTGGTTTGGGTTCTATACCAGCTTCTCAGAGAAGTCATCCTTAACCACGTAGGGTGGAATTGCAGCTCCCACTCAATTGTAGACAGTGGGTAACTATTGTTTCTTACCATATTTTCAAAGGAGTTTTAACTATTGCATAAATCTATAGCAGTCAATTAAATTAAAATATGGAGAAGGGTTGAATGCCTAATTACATGTTAAAATTGAAGTCTGGAAAGATATTACATAAAGTAGTAAATTTCTTGTTTTTACCCAGAATCAACATGCACTTTTACTCTAAAGAAGCATAGGTCTGGCCGGGTGCGGTGGCTTATGCCTGTAATCCCAGCATTTGGGGAGGCCGAGACAGGCGAATCACAAGGTCAGGAGTTTGAGACCAGCCTGGTCAACATAGTGAAACTCTGTGTCTACTAAAAATACAAAAAATTAGCTGGGCGTGGTGGCGGGCACCTGTAATCCCAGGTACTTGGGTGACTAAGGCAGGAGAGTTGCTTGAACCGGGGAGGCAGAGGTTTGAATGAGTAAAGATCGCGCCACTGCACTCCAGGCCGGGCAACAGTGCGAGACTTCGTCTCAAAAAAAAAAAAAAAGCAGCATAGGTCTCTCTACGGCCTATCTTTCCTAGAACTTCCTTCTTCAGGTTCTGCTCTCTGTTGATATATAGTCTGTATAAACATGTACATTGATACATTAAATTAGTTGCTTCATAAAATATTAGCAGGTGCCTCCTGAGGACTCAAACATTTCACACACAAGATTGAAAGTTAAGAGTATTTTAGGCATATCGTCAGGGAGGTTACTGGAAATTCGGTGGGCAAGATAATCTTTCACCCCTCCTCTAATCACTACCCCATATTATACTCTTTTTAATAAAACGTGAAAGTGTCTTCATGTTTAGCTGCAGGAAACAAATAATTTTCAGGATTTCACCAGAGGGTGTCCATTCATTTGTTCATTTCAACAAATACTTAAAAGTTCTGTGGTAAGTGCTTTAGAGACCACAAAGTATTTTCATATTCTTCTTATTTAACCCTCACAATCCTCAAATTTGCAAGGATAAACATCTTGCATTAACAAATAAGAAAACTGAGAACCTCCTAAAAGTTTAAGGGATTGAGCAAAATCACACCATTAGTTGACAGAATCACTGATACCCAAACCTACATATTCTAATGCTAAAAGTGTTAGTTTCCCACACTACTTTAACTCAGCATTTCTAATATGCTAAATGTAATCGAGTCTCAAAGATGCGTAACCATCTACTTACAGGAGGGTGAACTTCTGTAACACATAGAAGAGTCTAACTTTTAAGAATTACAGTCAACATAATGTTGAATAACATAAAAATGTAAAGCTCTTTATAATTAGCATAAATTAAGCGAACTATTGTGATTAGACATATAGAAGAACTTTAACATATAAATGTAACTTAAAAGTCAACAGTAAGTAGAGTAACTTTCTTAAGCATATGAAATCTGCCTTTGAAAACCATAAAGAGAAAAATCCAGAACTCATCCTGGGATGAGAGTGACTCATGCACTTTATGGAGTCAAAAAGCCTTCTAGAAAGTTCAGAGAAATCTAGTCTTTCACAATTCCAGGTGTTTTATTAACTTACCATAAATCCCTTTGGCAAATCACTTGGCAGTCAGGGTCACTGGTTCTTGAAGTTTGTGGACCAACCCTGCCTGAGAAAAAGGGGTGGGAAGAAGACAACATTAAGCAACTCATCCTTGCTATTAGTCCTGCTTTGGTTCCTTGTCTATTGGCCAGCAAGAAAACAATTTCCCTATTCTTCATCCATTTTGGATACCTATGATAGAATTGAGTCTATACTTTCATTTCCTGTAAGGCTTGAGATGAGGCTGGCTTATATCCATCCTCTCAGAAACTGGAGTCCTTTTTCTGAACTCCAGGTAGCCACTGAGATCCCATTCTCAGCTTTCACTGTTTCTGGAAACTGCTGCTTACATATCTTTTTCTTTACCTGAGGAATGCCTAAAGAAGTTTCAGCACAGGTCCTGGCACAAAGCAGGTATTCAATATTGATTGAAAATTGGTATACAACAAGAAAATATAACAAGGTCTTGGCCTCCAATGCAACTTAGAGTCTAGAAGAGAAAGATAAAAATATAAATACTAAGTGTTACAGATGCTATAATGAAAGAAACAGACTGCAAACCTGGCACTAATAATTTTTTTTTTCTACTAGAGGGATCAAAAAGACTTCTTGGAGGAGTTAAGAAGAATGAGTAAGATTAAATGAAAAGAATAGATTTTGCCAAGAATAGTGGGAAGACAGGCAGATATTTTCCAAAGACAATGAATAAAGTCATTTGTATAAGGAGAATGTACATATTGAAGCATGGTAAAAGATAAGCCTGGAAATCTGAGTAGATCATGAATGGGTCAGAAATTTACTTTTTTAGGCATTAAAAGTATCTGTAGTTTTTTGAGCAGGTGAGTGATCTAATTGGAGTGATATCTTAGAGTTGTTCCCAGGGTGGCAGTTAATAGGACATTTTAGTCAAGGAAAGAAAAAATTGAAAGGATGAAATTAGTTAGGAAACAATTTACCCCAGCATTAAGTGATTAAAGTATGATAGAAGTTAATAGCAATAGAATAAAAAAAAAGAAGGAACTGAATTTTGGTGAATTATGTGGGATTAACTTTCACTTCTTAAAATCCCATAAAAGTTCAGTAAAAGGATTTTAAAAATGCATAAAAGTACATAAGAAAAACCAGAAGTGGGAACAAAAAAAAATTGAGATGCAAAGAAAAAAAAGGAAGATATAAAGCAGAAAATTAAGGCCAGAGGAAGAAGAAAGATAGTGTCTGCAAGGTGCAAGAGTGCAGAGTCAAGACCAGTCATTTCATGCCCTGGAATCCAGGGAGGCCTACAAGTTAGAGGCATCATGTTGCTCTGACAGCTGAGGTGTAGTTAGGCAGACAACACGAACATTGGTTGCAACTCTCCAAAAGCATTTAGACCTTTGCATATCCTAAAATTCTATATGAGAAGAGATCAGGTCTAAAATTTTCCCCACTTAACAGAATAACAAGGTTCAGATTTTACTCTCTGGAGACACACTGAACCCAGAGACATCAAACACAGTCAAGACTTCGCATGAAGGTCTACACATTGAATAGTGAGACCCATATTATACTCTCCCACTTTTCCATCACAAAAGCAACCAGCTTCACTCACAGGACGAAAGCTGGAGGGTTCATCTCTTTGGAACCTCGCTGGCTTAAGGAAAACTTCTTGACATTTGGGGAAAGAGTATCCTTGAGAAAATAACTGTGCTTCTGTCTAATTATCCTACAGAAAAGCACGCTGGTCAAGAAGCCCTGAAATTAGATACAAAGCTTCTAATATATTTCTAGGGTTTTCAATGTCAAATGTCAAAAAACAGCCAAGGATGAGGAAAATCATACCACTAATTCAAAACATGGAAGCCAAACAAAGAGAATAAGTGACGCAGAAAACCTGAGGCATTGCAGGAACTAGGAGAAACAATGCAAAGAAACTCTTTAATCAATCGCCTTAAAAAGATAAAAGTCGCCTTAAAGAGATAAAAATTTATGGATAATATATCCATAAATTAGAATATTTAGGATATGATTTTAAAATGAAGGAGGAGCATTCAAACAATACAAGCTCCTAGAAATAAAATATGGTTAAAATAAAGATGACAGAATCTTCCAGAAAGTGTAGCCAAACTACAAAATGAAAAATAGTTAAGACTAGATAAAATTTTAGAGGTTTGTTACTGAAGTTCAAACAGTCAAATAAGAGCCTCAGAAAAAGACAAAGAAGAAAATGAAAGGAAATAAACTATACAGAAAGAAACCAAAAAAAAACACCTAGGATTGAAATGTCTGGATTTACACATAGAAAGGGCAGATTAGTATCTACCACAATGAATGAAAAGACAATTCACAGCAAAGCACAGTACTGTAAAATTTCAGAGAATTGAGATACAGAGAAAAACAGGCAATTGGAATCAGAAAGAAAATTGAATTTCATGCCTTCAATATTCTGTGAAAAATAATTTTCAACACAGAATTCTGAATCCAGACAAACTATCAATCAAATGAGAAGGTAGAAACAAACATTTTAATTTGTTCATATGCACAAGTTCTAAACAAAATTACCTCTCATATTCTTCTGCTCAAGAAATTACAAGAAGATAATCCTTATTAAGAATCAAACAATAGGCCGGGCACGGTGGCTCATGCCTGTAATCCCAGCACTTTGGGAGGCCGAGGCGGGTGAATCACCTGAGGTCAGGAGTTCAAGACAAGCCTGGCCAACACGGTGAAACCCCGCCTCTACTAACACCAAAGTTAGCCGGGTGTGGACCGTGGTGGTGAGTGCCTGTAATCCCAGCTACTCGGGAGGTTGAGGAAGGAGAATCGTTTGAACCCAGGAGGCGGAGGTTGCAGTGAGCCGCGATCGTGCCATTGTACTCCAGCCTGGGTGACAGAGTGAAACTCTGTCTCAAAAAAAAAAAAAAAAAAAAGAATCAAAGAATAACCAAGACACAGGAAACCTGGAATACAAAGAGTACGTGGAAAAAGGAGTCTATAAAACTTCCACAATGACAGTGAAGGGAACGCTCAAGAAAACAACTGTGCAGCAGTTCTAGAGAATCGCAGTTTTATAGAAGGGGTCCAACAAGGAAGTCTCTTTTAATAAAACAGAATTGATACCCCATCTGATATTTAGCGTGCCAAGGAGGGAGTGACTGTGCTCTCCAAGTGTTCGTAGATGAAATGGTAAGAGTTACATAGTACACTTAAAAACAAAAATAAATCGGCCGGGCGCGGTGGCTCAAGCCTGTAATCCCAGCACTTTGGGAGGCCGAGATGGGCGGATCAAGAGGTCAGGCGATTGAGACCATCCTGGCTAATACGGTGAAACCCCGTCTCTACTTAAAAAAAAAAAAAAAAAAAAAAAAAAAAATACAAAAAACTAGCCGGGCGAGGTGGCAGGCGCCTGTAGTCCCAGCTACTCGGGAGGCTGAGGCAGGAGAATGGCGTAAACCCGGGAGGCGGAGCTTGCAGTGAGCGGAGATGCGGCCACTGCACTCCAGCCTGGGCGACAGAGCGAGACTCCGCCTCAAAAACAAAACAAAAAATAAATAAATCAATTATTACTAATTCCTGAGGGAAAAAAATTACAAGAAAGAATATGTGATCATAGCGTACTTAGGTGTCACAGGTGTGGATAATATCAATATAAATACTATAATGAAAACACTGAATGTTTAACCAAAAACTAAAATAATTACACTAATACGATCAGGAAAGGATAAGAGGAGAAGAAGGTGAACATTTTAGGGAACTAGCTTCCAAGAAAGAAAGCAAAGCGCTATTACCTAAAAATAAAAAATGACAAAATAAAACATATGCCTTCTTTTTAGAGGCATAGATGTGAATCTCCAAAGAAACAGGTAAAAGATGCAAAGATGTCTGTATCTTGGAACGGAATTCAGGAAAGAAATGTCGAAATGGTCTACTATTTTTTCTTATAAGTCTTGTTGAACTCCTTTACATTTTAAACCGTGGGTATGAATTGCTTTGATTTAAATGTTTTTTAAAGAAGGGAAAGTGCAGAAGTTATTGCAAAGAAGAATCTATGGAAAAAAGCAGAATGACCAGATTTTGGAGCAAATGACAAATTTCAAAATAACCCTATGATATCTTGTCTGGATGATTGAAGATGATTTTGGAAACAATCAAATAGGAGAGAAATCAGAAAGTAGCAGTGGAACGATGAGTTTGGTGAGGAAGGATGTATGCCGAATTGATTGGCGGTCAGACAACATGATTCCTAATCCTTGTTCCACTGCCAATTTACTTATGAGTTTGGTCAAGTAAATTTACTTCTATAGCTTCCGTCATATTATCTTTAAAGCAAAGGTTTTGGCCGGGTGCAGTGGCTCACGCCTGTAATCCCAGCACTTTGGGAGGCCAAGACGGGCAGATCACAAGGTCAGGAGTTCAAGACCCTCCTGACCAACATCGTGAAACCCCTTCTCTACTAAAAATACAAAAATTACCCGGACGTGGTGGCACGTGGCTGTAAAAAGATTTTGAACTCAATGATCTCTACCTTTCTTCCATCTTGTCTGAGACGAACTTACACTTGTGTTGGTGTTAACCGTGAAACAAACAAGTGACTTATACACAGGAGACTGCTAGAAATGTCAAACACAAGTTGAGACAAGCAGTCAGGGCTGGAGAGGCTGACTGTAGAGGTATCTACATGGATATACACTCACAGCTGGAAAGAGTAAGATCTCCAAAGCATAGAGACGGAAATGGAAAGATAGGACTAAACTTGTTCACCTTAGGGGAAAACTAGAATAGTGAAGGTGTGAGTTTAAAAATGTATATATAACAGGACAGATCAGCTATTCATACATTTGGCTTTAGAAGAGTATGAAGGGTTTGATAGTCTTATGAATTCAAAAATCACCTTTGAACTTAAACAATTAGGAAATTTTGATAGTAAACCAAATTAAAATAAAATATTTGGAATTCTAAGGAGTTATACAAAAGATAAGCTTTTATCCACTTTTTCCTGAAATTACTATAGTTATCACATCACAGATGTTACCATTTAGGGCATCTATGTGAATAAAGATGGGATTTTTATTTTTTGCCTTTAGAAAAGTG